ACCGGGATAACATGAACAGAACCATCAGTTGTGATTGCAATCAGAGACCTTGTACCCCACTGTTCAATATATAGTGAATCTCCAATTTTATCGCAAATCTTCGTCATCTTTTCAGGGAAAGGAGCTTCAAACAAAAACATTTCTTGATTCGAATTCGTGAAAATGATGTGGTCGAATCCGTACCTGTCATTGAAGGAGCAAACGAATGTTGGTAATCTGTTTATTGGGTATTCAGCCACTTTAACTCCATTGCAAGTATAAACAACGATCTTTGCGGCCAAGTTTGTATCATCCAAACCTTCGCAAAAAGCAACAATGAATCCCCAATTTTTAGTAATTACCAAATTTGTGCAAACAAAAGATTCCAAATTCAAAATCTGTGTCACGTGTTTTGATAAAATAGACACTAAATAGATTTCTCCTTCTCTTGTTCCTACAGCGACCATCTGGAAAATTGCAGAAACAGCTAAAGCTTCGATTGTTCCAGCGTTTAGTTGTATCGAGAAAATCATTGATTCGCTGTGTTTGTAGATGGAAATTGTTGAATCTGTTTGTGCAAAAGCCATGTAATTACTAGAGAAATCATAAGCAGTGATATTCGAATGGAAAACAACTTCTCTTTCTGATTCGCTTTCCAAAGAAATCAACTGCACTTTGTCTTTCTTTGTACCAATCATCATGATCTTTAAACTCGTGATTGGAATCAAAACATTGAGTCCTTCTGCGGCATTCGACATCGTCAAAGGAATTTGGAATTGTTTTTCATTGATAAGTCTCGTTGTCGATTTCTCTGGATTGAATCTCAACGTTCTAATGAAACTGTTCTTGTCTAATGTCAATACAGTGATGATGATGAAGAAAGTGAATCATCATCAACAACTTGGTAAGATTTTAAAAATCAAATTTTCGATTTTATTACCAAATGAGAGAATTATATTTTTAACACTTAAAAAAAAAAAAAAAAAAAAAAAAAAAAAAAAAGGTAGTGGGGCTTCCAGGCACTTCGTGCCTTCTAGCCCTGAAGATGTTTAGTATTTAGGTTCGAATAAATCATGTGTTCAAGTATTGGCAGGAGCAAAATATTTATAAACTCCACCTGGTTCATCTGGATTTAAGCAATGATGAATGAAGAAAAAACAGGAATCTCTATTTATAGGATCGAATTTTGAAGATTGGGCAAATATTGGATTTTGCCAATCGTTAGGAATTTGGGCAGTTTATAATAAGAACATGAATCTTGACATATTGGATCACCAGCTGCAATTGATATTGAATCAAACTTCAAATATATAAAGCTTTTAATTGAGACAGTTGATAAGCAAAAATGGCCTAGTTATGCAAATGATTTCCTGATTCTGAATTTATGATTGATTATCTGTTATTAAGAAGATATAGAAATTGACAACAGAGTTAGTATTCTTCATAATTGTATGTAACAGAATTCTATGAGAAAGTTAAATCTGATCCAAGCCATAATAAATTCTGTGGAGATAATATATATTACTCCGAATTGAATGATTTGTATTAATTAAATACACTTTTGTTGTTATATAAATTTTTAGGGTTTTACAAACTGGCACGCCTGCTGGCACACCTTTTTTGCCAGCTGGCACGATTTTTTTAAAAAACCAATTAAAAAAGTCACTTTTTGCCCCATCTAATGAGATTTTTTTTTACAATTTTTTTCCCCTTATTTTTCAATTTAGATATGATTTTAAGCTCTCCAAATTGAAGTTTACCTGATGTTTCTTAGTTTTTATGATAATAAAATGTTGCAAAGTTAAGTTTGGATTCAATAAATTTAAGAAAATTTTATTTTACAATGAAATTATAAGAAAGGTATTTTTTATCCTATGTCAAAGAGAATACATTTGTAGATCCCGACTTTTGACATGATTGAAAATTAAAAAAAAATTCAAAATTTAAAAAAAAAATTAAAAAATATATTTCATGTTAAAAAATGATTTTTGAAATTTTTTTGGAAAAATAGAATGTCATATTTTTATGTTTATTGCTATTTTTTACGAAATCAATAAAATATTTGTTAATTTGGCTGAGATTATAAATAAAATCTTTCTAATCTTGCAATTGATTGCTAAAATCTGTTTTATGTATTAATTGGCATTGAGATTCGTTATAAAAGAATGCGAATTATTTTGTATGAGTAAACGTATTTTGTAAATTTTCAAATTCTCTTCTCTCATTACTTACCTTAGATTCTTCGGCTTTCAGCTCTCAGATTTCGCTCATAGAACTCAGGTTTAGTTATGTACTCATAGATGTATCATTACTGGCCCGCAGATCTACTCATTACTACCTTACTAACCAGATCTTAACTCTCATTACTACCCTTACTAACCAGATCTTAAACTCTCATTAACTACCCTTACCACAACTCAGAATCTTAACTTCTCATTACTATTCTAACCAGATCTTAACTCCTCAAAAAATTACTACCTTACTAACCAGATCTTAACTCTCATTACTACCTTACTAACACAGATCTTAACTCTCATTACTACCTTACTAACCAGATCTTTAACTCTCATTACTACCTTACTAACCAGATCCTTAACTCTCATTACTACCTTACTAACCAGATCTTAACTCTCATTACTACCTTACTAACCAGATCTTAACTCTCATTACTCACCTTACTAACCAGATCTTAACTCTCATTACTACCTATTACTATACTCAGATTCTTAACTCTCATTACTACCTTACTAACCAGATCTTAACTCTCAATTACTACTTACTAACCAGATCTTAACTCTCATTACTACCTTACTAACCAGATTTAATCTCATTACTACCTTACTAACCAGATCTTAACTCTCATTACTACCTTACTAACCAGATCTTAACTCTCATTACTACCTTACTAACCAGATCTTAACTTATCATTACTACCTTACTAACCAGATCTTAACTCTCATTACTACCTTACTAACCAGATCTTAACTCTCATTACTACCTTACTAACCAGATCTTAACTCTCATTACTACCTTACTAACCCAGATCTTAACTCTCATTTACTAATACTTACTAACCCAGATCTTAACTCTCATTACTACCTTACTAAACCAGATCTTAACTCTCATTACTACTTACTAACCAGATCTTAACTCTCATTACTACCTTACTAACCAGATCTTAACTCTCATTACTACCTTACTAACCAGATCTTAACTCTCATTACTACCTTACTAACCAGATCTTAACTCTCATTACTACTTACTAACCAAGATCTTAACTCTCTTACTACCTTACTAACAGATCTTAACTCTCATTACTAACTTACTAACCGATCTTAACTCTCATTACTACCTTACTAACCAGAATCTTAACTCTCATTACCAAAAATATGTATTAGAAAGATGACTTATAATTTCATAAATTATTTTGTCCCGACGGTTTGAGCTGTTATCAGAATGGTTGCTTACACAATGCGTCAGCAAAATGTCGGTTGGGGTGCCCTTCTTGGCCTCCTGAGTACTCACCAAGATACCCCCAGCTCCCGCAAAACACCTCCCTTAGGTGCGCATTACCTGACGGCATTATTTTGCAATTATTTCAAATTTTTTAGATGTCTTTTGTTAAAGTTTGTTAACTAAAGACTTGAAAACAGCTTACCGCTTCAAGCTGCTCTCTTCCCGGTTCCTCTGCCGCAATCTTCTGTTTGATTGTGCGCAAAGCTCTCCTCCTTGTGAACTTTGCCTGACAGATACACCTGGGAGACAGCATTCGGACATCTTACCGCTTCAAGCTGCTCTCTTCCCGGTTCCTCTGCCGCAATCTTATGTCTGATTGTGCGCAAAGCTCTCCTCCTTGTGAACCATGGCTGATAGAAAGAACTGAAAGACAGGATAGGAGGAACATGCCGGTTCAAGTTAACTTGCAATATGCTTCTGATTAGTGATTTTAGATGAAAGATTAGCGAAATCGCATTTAATTTGGATAGAAGGATTCAATTTTATGAAGCAGGCTCGTAGAAAATATGCAGGAATAGCACAATCTTTTGCAATCACAACGCGATTGCAAAACTTCGACCGACAAGAGTGTATTGTGCACTCTTGTCGGTCTGCATGTCTCATTCCGGGAGACATTGTCACTGCATGTCTCCCAGAATGAGACAATCTTCCGCATTCATAACTTGAATGCGGAAGTTTGACCGACAAGAGTGCACAATACACTCTTGTCGATCTAAATGTATCTTACAATCAAAGACACTTTCATACAATCTTTTCGAAGTTAAAAAAAAAATTAATTATTTCTTTCTTTTGTTTATTAAATCGCCTTACTCACGTACTAATCTCTTTTAGAGACTCTATCGAGCTATCCCCACATATAAACCTGTGACAATAATACATATTTACTCTCTTCATATTCTGATCTCATGACACATTATCGCAAAAACTATAATTATACAACACATCTCATAAAGTCTCATTTTAGCCCTATCTAAGCGTTCAAAACCTATTTTCCACACGTAATCTGATTCTTCTGGCTCCGCTGATTCGATTTCTGCTGTCAAATTTATGAGGAGACAATTTGAAAAAAAAAGCAATAAATATTAATTAAAAATAAGTTTTCCATTGGCAATAACTACATGAATTTATGATTGTAGACTTCATTTAAGCGCATGATTTTGAATTTTTAGATATGTAAAATCAGAATGACAAAATAATACAAAAATTGGCCCAATATTAATGAACCGCATTTGAAAACCAATATCAAGAAGAATATATTGGAAACAGTTTGATTTTTTCAAAGTGCATTTAATTATTAATCCTCCTCAAAGAAATTCAATTTTTAAACATTCTTGGATTTATATGTCTTTATGCAATTAAAAGAAAATTTATATCATAAGGAGGATAAAAATATTCAAAATAAAAGAAAACAAAACCCTCTTTTATCATCAAATATGGAAGCTGATGAGTCTTTTCCCCATAGTAATCGATATACATTATTTATTGCTTGTATTTATAATATCCTTATGCTTTGTTTTGCAATTTCGGTAAATTTTTCAGAGTTTTTCAATGTAATAGGAATAATAACGATCTTACATCCTGTCCAGAAATTTCAAATCAAAGAGGAATTTACGATTTCAAAAGAGATTAAAGCATTTGAGTGTAAAAATATAGCAGAAATGAAAGAACTGAATTTTATTAGTCCATATGCTGACAATAAACTTGTCATGTTAATTGGAAAAGGTAGAATTTATGATGTTTTATTTTGTTTTTCAGCAGCTGCCCGAGAATTTACAACTTATTATCATTTCCAGCATGTTTTAGTTACAAGTCAAGGAATTTTCACAGATGATTCTTTTCTCATATTCCCATGGGCCAAGAAAACATATAGTAAATCAAGAATCACTAATTCTCATAGAGAAATCGATCATTTAATACTTGGATCAATTCATTTTGGTCCTTGGGGCCATTTTATAAGTGACTCACCTATGGCAGGTTTACTATACCTTCCAAAAGATATTGTTAAGAAGTCAAAGCTTGCAATAATGGGTAATCAAGGGTATGTTAGAAGAAACTTGGATGAACTTGGATTCCAAGATGTTCCATTACATCATTTATCATGGAGTTTTGAACTCGTCCACAATTTATACGTCTTATCACCCCAAGATCGGCCGAATGGGCAAGTTCATTTCAATTGTGAATTAAGAGATCACATTTTCAAATTATATAATTTATCAGATATCATTCCTAATTATGGTGTCATTACAAATAGACCATATGGAAGAGCAAGACATGTAACTAATATCCAAGAACTCATAGTTGTTGTAAAAAATCATTTCATGAATATAAGATGGGAGTTTCATGATGATTCACAATTAGGTTCGATAAAATCATGTGTTCAAGTATTGGCAGGAGCAAAATATTTTATAACTCCACCTGGTTCATCTGGATTTAAAGCAATGATGATGAAAGAAAAAACAGGAATCTATTTTATAGGATCGAATTTTGAAGATTGGGCAAATATTGGATTTTGCCAATCGTTAGGAATTTGGGCAGTTTATAATAAGAACATGAATCTTGGACATATTGGATCACCAGCTGCAATTGATATTGAATCAAACTTCAAATATATAAAGCTTTTAATTGAGACAGTTGATAAGCAAAAATGGCCTAGTTATGCAAATGATATTCCTGATTCTGAATTTATGATTGATTTATCTGTTATTAAGAAGATATTAGAAATTGACAACAGAGTTAGTATTCTTCATAATTGTAATGTAACAGAATTCTATGAGAAAGTTAAATCTGATCCAAGCCATAATAAATTCTGTGGAGATAATATATATTACTCCGAATTGAATGATTTGTATTAATTAAATACACTTTTGTTGTTAATATAAATTTTTAGGGTTGTACAAACTGGCACGCCTGCTGGCACACCTTTTTTGGCCAGCTGGCACGATTTTTTTAAAAACCACATTAAAAAAGTCACTTTTTGCCCCATCTAATGAGATTTTTTTTTACAATTTTTTTCCCCTTATTTTTCAATTTAGATATGATTTTAAGCTCTCCAAATTGAAGTTTACCTGATGTTTCTTAGTTTTTATGATAATAAAATGTTGCAAAGTTAAGTTTGGATTCAATAAATTTAAGAAAATTTTATTTTACAATGAAATTATAAGAAAGGATATTTTTATCCTATGTCAAAGAGAATACATTTGTAGATCCCGACTTTTGACATGATTGAAAATTCCAAAAAAAATTCAAAATTTAAAAAAAAAATTAAAAAATATAAATTTCATGTTAAAAAATGATTTTTGAAATTTTTTTGGAAAAATAGAATGTCATATTTTTATGTTTTATTGCTATTTTTTACGAAATCAATAAAATATTTGTTAATTTGGCTGAGATTATAAATAAAATCTTTCTAAATCTTGCAATTGATTGCTAAAATCTGTTTTATGTATTAATTGGCATTGAGATTCGTTATAAAAGAATGCGAATTATTTTGTATGAGTAAACGTATTTTGTAAAATTTCAAATTCTCTTCTCTCATTACTTACCTTAGATCTCTCGGCTTTCAGCTCTCAGATTTCGCTCATAGAACTCAGGTTTTAGTTATGTACTCATAGATGTATCATTACTGCCCGCAGATCTCTCATTACTACCTTACTAACCAGATCTTAACTCTCATTACTACCTTACTAACCAGATCTTAACTCTCATTACTACCTTACTAACCAGATCTTAACTCTCATTACTACCTTACTAACCAGATCTTAACTCTCATTACTACCTTACTAACCAGATCTTAACTCTCATTACTACCTTACTAACCAGATCTTAACTCTCATTACTACCTTACTAACCAGATCTTAACTCTCATTACTACCTTACTAACCAGATCTTAACTCTCATTACTACCTTACTAACCAGATCTTAACTCTCATTACTACCTTACTAACCAGATCTTAACTCTCATTACTACCTTACTAACCAGATCTTAACTCTCATTACTACCTTACTAACCAGATCTTAACTCTCATTACTACCTTACTAACCAGATCTTAACTCTCATTACTACCTTACTAACCAGATCTTAACTCTCATTACTACCTTACTAACCAGATCTTAACTCTCATTACTACCTTACTAACCAGATCTTAACTCTCATTACTACCTTACTAACCAGATCTTAACTCTCATTACTACCTTACTAACCAGATCTTAACTCTCATTACTACCTTACTAACCAGATCTTAACTCTCATTACTACCTTACTAACCAGATCTTAACTCTCATTACTACCTTACTAACCAGATCTTAACTCTCATTACTACCTTACTAACCAGATCTTAACTCTCATTACTACCTTACTAACCAGATCTTAACTCTCATTACTACCTTACTAACCAGATCTTAACTCTCATTACTACCTTACTAACCAGATCTTAACTCTCATTACTACCTTACTAACCAGATCTTAACTCTCATTACTACCTTACTAACCAGATCTTAACTCTCATTACTACCTTACTAACCAGATCTTAACTCTCATTACTACCTTACTAACCAGATCTTAACTCTCATTACTACCTTACTAACCAGATCTTAACTCTCATTACTACCTTACTAACCAGATCTTAACTCTCATTACTACCTTACTAACCAGATCTTAACTCTCATTACTACCTTACTAACCAGATCTTAACTCTCATTACTACCTTACTAACCAGATCTTAACTCTCATTACTACCTTACTAACCAGATCTTAACTCTCATTACTACCTTACTAACCAGATCTTAACTCTCATTACTACCTTACTAACCAGATCTTAACTCTCATTACTACCTTACTAACCAGATCTTAACTCTCATTACTACCTTACTAACCAGATCTTAACTCTCATTACTACCTTACTAACCAGATCTTAACTCTCATTACTACCTTACTAACCAGATCTTAACTCTCATTACTACCTTACTAACCAGATCTTAACTCTCATTACTACCTTACTAACCAGATCTTAACTCTCATTACTACCTTACTAACCAGATCTTAACTCTCATTACTACCTTACTAACCAGATCTTAACTCTCATTACTACCTTACTAACCAGATCTTAACTCTCATTACTACCTTACTAACCAGATCTTAACTCTCATTACTACCTTACTAACCAGATATCTAATTATTTACATATGATTTCTCACATCTCACTCAAGTCTCATTACTTACCCTATCTTTTTAACCTTTTCTGATAATTACTGAAATAACTAAATCCTTTTTTTAGTTTAATTCTGATATTAAATTTTTAAAATCTCTTTAATTTTTTGAACTACGCCTTTAATTTGTAATTGCCGATTTCACAGATTTGAACCATTTAATAAAATAACATTATTCAACTTAATCATATCAAACATGGTAGTTTGATTTTCAGATCTACATTTTAAAAACCTCTTTATTATCCTGAGTTATACTTTTATTATATAATACCTGAGTTCATAACTGAAAACTCTTAATTAGAGTACAATATTCAACTTAATCATAACAAGATTTGTTGAATTTCAAATTTGATTTATATCTTCCATCACTTAAAACTCTCACAGCTTACAATATAAGCTAAAAAGTATATTTTCATAGTAATAAAATTAATTATTAAATTTTTTACTTTTTCCTTTCCAAAACTAGAAAAAAAGGAAGGGAAAAGGGAAAAAGAAGAAAGAAAAGAGAAAAAGAAAAAAAAAGAAGAGAAAAGAAGAAAAAATAATGAGCATATTATATAATTGTGGTCATAGGCCGAGTGGCGTGGAAAGGATGTCGCCCTTCGGGCTCCACCCTTTCCACGCCACGAGGCCCGATTTTTGGCCACTTTTTTGATTTTGGCCGCCTGCCAGGAGCTGGCACGCGGCCCGCAAAATTGTGCCAGTTTGTACAACCCTATAAATTTTGTAGTTTACGTGTATCTACTTTCAAATAAATAAGTATATAACAAAGTTGCGAGAATGTTCTTGTTAACTTTTGGTAAAATTAACAGAATAAAGAGATACACATTTTTGGAAAAGATAATATATATAAAACGAAAATATATATTTACAATAATACAAGATAAAAATAATAAAAATTAAAATACCGGGATAACATGAACAGAACCATCAGTTGTGATTGCAATCAGAGACCTTGTACCCCACTGTTCAATATATAGTGAATCTCCAATTTTATCGCAAATCTTCGTCATCTTTTCAGGGAAAGGAGCTTCAAACAAAAACATTTCTTGATTCGAATTCGTGAAAATGATGTGGTCGAATCCGTACCTGTCATTGAAGGAGCAAACGAATGTTGGTAATCTGTTTATTGGGTATTCAGCCACTTTAACTCCATTGCAAGTATAAACAACGATCTTTGCGGCCAAGTTTGTATCATCCAAACCTTCGCAAAAAGCAACAATGAATCCCCAATTTTTAGTAATTACCAAATTTGTGCAAACAAAAGATTCCAAATTCAAAATCTGTGTCACGTGTTTTGATAAAATAGACACTAAATAGATTTCTCCTTCTCTTGTTCCTACAGCGACCATCTGGAAAATTGCAGAAACAGCTAAAGCTTCGATTGTTCCAGCGTTTAGTTGTATCGAGAAAATCATTGATTCGCTGTGTTTGTAGATGGAAATTGTTGAATCTGTTTGTGCAAAAGCCATGTAATTACTAGAGAAATCATAAGCAGTGATATTCGAATGGAAAACAACTTCTCTTTCTGATTCGCTTTCCAAAGAAATCAACTGCACTTTGTCTTTCTTTGTACCAATCATCATGATCTTTAAACTCGTGATTGGAATCAAAACATTGAGTCCTTCTGCGGCATTCGACATCGTCAAAGGAATTTGGAATTGTTTTTCATTGATAAGTCTCGTTGTCGATTTCTCTGGATTGAATCTCAACGTTCTAATGAAACTGTTCTTGTCTAATGTCAATACAGTGATGATGATGAAGAAAGTGAATCATCATCAACAACTTGGTAAGATTTTAAAAATCAAATTTTCGATTTTATTACCAAATGAGAGAATTATATTTTTAACACTTAAAAAAAAAAAAAAAAAAAAAAAAAAAAAAAGGAGGGGGGGTTCCAGGCACTTCGTGCCTTCTAGCCCTGAAGATGTTTAGTATAAATGAAGTTTTTATTCGGAAAATTGTTAGTCTTCTGGGTCGAAAACATTATATAATGTGTCGCTTTTCACAAATTATATATGTTTTCATGTTTTGTCAAACATGAACGTAAATGTTTTGTCAAGACTTCTTCATCGTAATGAGCGTAAATGACCCAAAAATATAATTTAGGTGAAGAGGTGAGATGTCACCCGTTTTCTCACCTGTTTTCTCACCTCTTGAATTTTCATGATTTCTTCGTAAATGTTTTGTCGAAACTTCTTCATCGTAAATGTTTTTTACTTCACTTAAAATGCCACGTAAGCTACGTAAGAATATACGTAAGAGGAAGAGAGCATTGAAACATCCAATAGTAAAACTGACACCACAACAACAGTTGCAACAACAAATGCTGAATGACCCCACTATGTTGCAACAAATGTCAAGCAATCCTATGCTTTTAAACCGAGTTTTTGGTGCACAGAGTGGAGGTTTAAGAGCGGCACTTTTAGCGAAAATGGCAGGCTATGGTGGAGCTGCAGACGGAACAGCCTATAACCCTCAAAGTCAAATGAATTTGAGTTCACTCAAAAATCAAATAACAGATGTCAAAAAGTCAAACATAGACATACAGAAGCAAATAAGTGAAAACGAAAAGAAACTAGAATATGACAGACACACAAAGAAACTCAATGAGTTAAACGTAGAGAAAAAGAAGAAAGAAGAACAACTGAAAGAACTAAGTACAGAGGAATATGCGAAAAAAGTGTCAGAAAAAGCAGCAGAAGTAGCAAAAATGGAACAAGATGTCATAAATTTGAAAAACCATACTACTCAATATAAAGTACTGAAAGATGAAGAGATAAAACAAAAAGCCCTGAAGACATATATGGAAAGCGATGAGTATAAAAAAGAAGTTGAAGCAAATGTAAAGGCAGAAAAACTTTTACAGTTGCAAAACCAAACCGTACAGTATGAAAACTTAGCACAAGAAAGTAAAAATAACGACGCAGCCATGCAAAAGGCAATGAAAAGCGCAGAATATATAAAAGCTAATAATGACTGGTTAGATGCCCAAGCCAACGCTAAAGCAGCCCAGCTTATAGGGTCAATAAGGACAAAAATACAAGCGGATGAAGACAGTTCAAATGAAGCTTTAACAAATGCTGACTTTAAGAACGCCTTCGAAGCTCTTCATAGTAAGGTGAAACTAGTGAACGACTTCTCATCTGGAAAGAAACTGAAGTCTGAAGGTTTCGACAAAGAGTTAAGAGAAGTAGCACAAAATATGACGAAAATAACAGATGCAGCAACGAGACAGGCAGTTCAAAGTGCCTATGACGCCGTTAGAGCAACTGTTGTGGAAAGTCAAGAAAAAGAGTTACAACAGACCAAAACAGACCTAGTAAATGCTTTCTTAAGAACGAAAAGTCAGGTAGGACATTACGCTGCAGATGGAACATATGTGCCAGCTGGTGGAACTTATATACCACCAAACCCTCCAAGAGAAGCACCTGCACCAGGACTACCTAGAACATTTACATCGTCACATGGACATAGACACAGGCATGCACCAAAACCAACACAACAACACAACAACCACCTCCACACCAGCACAGCAACCAACAGTTCAAAACCCTGCACAACCAGCACAGCAACCAACAGTTCAAAACCCTGCACAACAACAACCACAAACAGAGCAAGGACATAAAAGAAGTAGAGAACAAGGAAACCAAGAATTCTTAAAAATGCTTAAGGAAGATTATGGTTACCCAGATACTCTTGACTTTAGTGACAGATATAAAGAAGCTATTAGAAAGTTCAAGGATGGAAATACTGACCCGAACCTATTTAGCTTTATGACTCAGCACCAAATGGGATATAATTTCAAACCTGGAAAATACAAGCTCGCTAAGAGATATGATTTAATAGCATATCATCCAAATGACATGAACGAATTTACTCCGAGATATTTGATGTCAGAGCTAAATGACAATTCAACTTTCGTCATGAAACGCGTAAAAAATAGAGACGGAACGAAAGAACAAAGGCTTATGAATGCGGATGACGTAGATAGGGAAATTGTTGAAAACGGTCTCGGAATATATGAAATGCCAGCAGATGAGGTACAAGAAACTCAACAGGAAGAAGTTCAGATACAACCAGACATGGAAGAAATAGTTCAGCAACAACAGCTAGAAGAGCCTGAAGGAAACGAACAAGTCCCTCCTTTGGAAACTAACTTCACAGAACTAGATGAAGATTTGGAACAGCCGAAAAATCTTGACCTTCAACAAGAGTATGCGGAGAATATGGAATCTTTCCAAGAGTCTAAAAAAAATTCGGCTGACATGGTAGAAGAATATCGAAAAATGTTCGCCGACATACAAAAGACTCCAACATCAGATGAAAATATTCAGCATAGAATGGAAGTACTGAAAGAAAATGTACGCAAATACAACAACCCTTTTTACTTACGAGCATTTAACGTTCAATCTTCGGATGAACTCGGTGAAAATAAAAGGTTAAATTTCAAGAAAACATATAAAAATGAAACATTGTTTAAAGTTCATTCAGAACCTAGCCAAGATGGAAACAGACCTACTTTTGTTTCTGCAGACAATGGAACTACAATGAGATGGGGTCATAAAGCTAATTCGGATAGGTGGTTCATAAACTTACAACCACAATTCCAAGAAGTTGTAGACGCAATGGAAGTGAATGGTGAACCAGATATAGCTGGTATTTTAAGCGCGGCTTTAATGCCGTTGAAAGATATGAAAGATGCAGATATTTTGGACCAGTATGAAATGAACATGGCTGATGGAAATATAACACCTGACGTTCTAGAACATTTATCTCAAAGAACTACACAGAACCATAGAGATGGTATATTTGGTGAAGAGTTTAGAAAGAAAGTTAGGGAGAGAGAAGGAAGAGAACCTATTGTACATGACCTTGCAAACGAAAGTTTGCAAAATATCATAAAAACTTACTTTGCAGACAATGAACTGAGAAGGGATGAATATTTAAGAAAACTCAAATGGACAGTACCAAATGAAATGTTAGTATTGAAAAACATGTTCCTTGACAAAATAAAACCAACTACAGAAATAAATGACGAAAGACTGAAACATTGGGTAAAAGCTTTCCCATTCACAAAAGATATTGTTGGTAACATGGAAAGAAAACCAGAATGGCTACAAAAACATATATTTGGAAACGAGCTTATTCCATATGGACAAGCTCTGTTTGAAGAGCTTGAACCGGAAACTCAGGAAAGAGTCATGCAAACAATACGCGAAGACTCAAATACAAACTATGACAAAATCTTTCTAGGATATAGGTTACCTGAGATGGGCGACCAGAGCCCAAAGGCAAAAAGGACATGGGAAATTTACAACATACTAGGTGAACATGAGGCAAAGATGCAACTTGAAGCAGAGGGCAAGTTACCAAAGCGACACCAAAGAAGAAAGAGAAAGTCGTGAAAGTAGTGAAGAACAAAGTGAAAGTAGTGGCAATGAAGGAAAAAGAAGAGTTAAAAACTCAGCCAGGAAGAAAGTAAAGCTTGGTCCACGTGGGTTCTATTATGACAAATAAATCCAACTATTCTATATTTTTACCCATATGAAATGTACGCCGCTCAGAATATAACGCCAACAGTTTTGGATGCCATGAACGGAAATGTTTCCGAATGGTATAACGAATGCGACAATGCCATTAGAAGGTCAGAAATAGTTCCTGGAACTTACGAATATACAACTGCTGTTTCTTATGGAAATGTAGGTGAGTTTGGTGAAGGTTCTTCAACAACAGTAGATATTGCATGCGACAGGTTTCACATTATTTCTATTGACAACTCATTCTTATACGTGGAACAAGACATTGAAATAAAACCTTCTGCCAAGTTGTCTGACAAGAAAGGTTGCAATGGAATTTTCTATGTCGGATACCAATATGCTCCAGAAGTTTTCATGGGATATAAGATATATTCTAACTCTGACTTAGTTCAAACAGTAACATGGGCAAACTATGAATGGTTCGCTTTGAGAAACTCAGTACAACCACAAGCTAGAGAACAAACAGACCAATATGCAACTATTGAGAAAATAAGAAGACTTGACCCTAACGTTCCAGGAGTTTATGTTGACCTTTCTGGACAAACTGCAGCAGCAGTAACCAAAGTAAAACTGAAACTTAGAGTTCCTTTGTCATCTTTCCTCATCTTCAGGTTTTTAAGATACTTGCCAAACTGGGCAGGAAAAATTTCTATTGAACTTACTCCAAGCAAAAATAACTTAGTCATTGCACCAACGCAAGACCCATTCACTCTTACAGACGTAAAGGGAGCAAATCAAACGTCATTCGCCGAATTTTGCAAAGACAAAGTTGACTTAGACTTTGGTTTCTCAAACTTCAACACTGAAGTAAACTATTATTTCAATGCTGCTGGAACTGCTTGGGACCCAGTTAAGTTCACATGCGAAAAATTTGAATGCAAGAGAATAGAAAGCAGACTTGCAGTCTATATGTTGGACCCAGATATTTCAAATGCTTTAGCTGCCAAATATATTGCAGTTCCACTTATGTTCCCTATACACCAAATATCTGTCAAAGACTTTGCAGGTGAAGTTGGAAACCAAAGTGCTGACCCAGGTGCAAGAACAGATATTGCTTTAACAACTGCAATGAAACATGCAGATACTATGTTTGTACTGTTCAGACGAACTATAAATGACTATTCTTGTTTCTACAACCCTGGTATTAAATATCATATAAACATAGATGGCAAATATTATCCAAGAGAAGAATATTCTACAGTTGAAGATATGAGGTCATACAACTTGACATTAGATGCTATGAACTTTAACAACAACTTCACAACAACCATTAACCCTGAAATGCAAAGTTCTATTATGCCATATGTGAAAGTATGGACCCATACAGGAAGTCAAAAAACTCAATATACAAATGGAGACCGTTCAAACTTTTGGCTTGGCATTCCATTTGCTGACTCAGAAGACTTTATGGGTGGTATTTCAACTGTTGGTACTGTACAAATACAATATACTGGTGACAGAGACGGTCCAGATGAATTGAGAGCAAAGAAGTTTACAAAACCAATAGCACTTTTCACGGAAGATGCTCTTTTGAAGATTCGTTCGATGAAACCTGCTGGGGCTCCTCAGATTGGCATAACGACAGCTTCCATCGAGCAGATTTTGGCAGCAGGTCAGTAAGTTGTTCTTGAACTGACTTCTCACCATCGTAAATAGTTATGACACCAGTTTTGACATAAAATTGTATTATAAACTTACCTTTAGAAATATCTGTAAGTTTTGTTGTTATATTTTTGTCTGCTTCAAGAACTTTCACCATCTCGGTTATACCAACTTTCTTTGCTTTATGAAAATATTTTGGTTCAGCAAAGACTGCTATTCTATAACATTTTCCATTGTTTGTGTAAAGAACTATTCTGTCAATGTATTTGTATTGTTTGTGAGTATAAACTTTGTTCTGCTTCAATTCAAAGAGATATCCGAATACGTCCATATTTTTATTCGAAGTAAAATGTCATTTCCGAAAAATAGAAGCGTAAGTGTTTCAAAAGGTTTAATGGCGGTGGCAGATGTGAAGTTAAATTCACCAACTCAAACAAACAGTCAAAGTGTTATTGTCAATGTCAAAGAAAGAGATGTTGAAGTGGGGAAACCATACGAAGACGAAGATGGTATAACAATTGTTCCTGTAAAAGAACAACCAACATACCCTGAAGTTAGCAGAGACTTAAGTTCTGTTGCAGATATTCGAAATGACTACCAACAACTGAAAGACAAACTTCAAACTCAGGAGAAGATTTGTCAAGCTTTAAGTATAATGTTAAACTTGGTCGAACACAACCCTGTAAAAGTGAACTCATATGTCATCGCACCTCATGAAGTTTTGAAAGAACTATTGAAACTTTTGACAGAGGCAGACGATATAAACATCAAAGAAATAGAACCCGACGTTAGTTGCTGTGGTGTTTCATATAATGTCATTGACAAGATATACGTTATGAAAGGAGGTGAAACGTTGAACTTAAAGTATAGTTTCCCAGACGTCATAAAAATATTTGACGACCACAACATTTCATTAAAGTTTATTTGCTAAGTAAATGGCAGAAGACATAATGGTTTATACTATTACGACTAAAAACCCTGAGTCATATAATTCTATAACAACAAACTTACAAAGTCCTCAAGGACGATATTGTAAACTAACCTTAAACACAATGACGACTAAAGCCTGTTTTGCTCTTTTGACACCAGAAGACTTTATTGTTGTGAATGGTAAAAAATACTCCTTTGAAGATACTTACTCAGATATACCACCAACAGGTTTTGTTGACTTATTTAATACTTTAAGTACGGGTGTAAAATGTGCTGCAACTAGAGCAGGTTTCATTATGTTTGGATGTCCGACTGAGTTTACTATAAACAATATGAGCTATAATACAAAACTTATATCTGGTTTTTACTACCAACAGTTTCCTATAACAGGAAAAGGTGTCATACAAGGAATGTCTGTTCCATTGACTTTAAGTACACCTATTTTATATATTGTTTCAAACTTAGGTTCAAAGTGTTATTCGAATGTCGACAGAAACTACTATGACCAAAAGATACTTATGCGTATAAACAACACTTTCTCTGCTGGTTTGCCTATTGTTCATTCGAATGCAGAGTTTTCAGCTTTAGTGAACTCAAACACTTTGGCAAACATAAACTTAACCTTAGTTGACGCAAACTTTGTTCCTGTAAAACTTTTATGTCCTATGTATTTGTCAATGACGGCAGAAAGTTTCGAATTGGAAGATGCAACTGGTGAAAGTATTGTATTACAAGAACAACTTCAACAACAAATAGCTCAAGAACAACAAATGCAACAAATAGCTCAAGAACAAAGTCAAGAATAAAAAAAATATTTTTTTTATTTTTATAAAAATGTACAGAATAGATGTTTCAGATTTTTATGACTTCCAAGCATTCAGAAATATGTGTCCATTTAGAGACTATAACAAAGCAGTCGAGAATTTGAAACGTTTAGTCATTTATGTTGACTCTGCCCCAGAATGTTATGTTATGAAAGAATGGGATGTTGTCTTTAACAAACCTAAAGCGACAATAGTTTCAGAACAAGAATGTAAACAGAAACTTAAGAAAATAAAAGTTGTACAAGTTGGCATGAAGATGTTAGATGCTTGGGATATCTTATTGTCAAAGTTAGAAGATTTTTCAGTTCGAGGTATAAAGTTCTATACACCTTCTCCAAACTTCTATTCTATCTTCACTGGATATAAATATGAACAAGTAGAATGGAAAGAAAATATTATAGAAGCTTGGTTAGACCATGTCAAAGAAATTATATGCAATGGAAACGAAAAGGTTTATGAGTATATCTTATGTTGGTTTGCAAATATCTTACAACATCCAAGTGCTAAAAATGAAACTGCTCTCATTATAATTGGAAAACAAGGAACTGGTAAGAATACTTTCTTTACAGATATTTTGTGCAAACTGTTAGAAGGTTATTCGAACCCTAATATGACAAACTTAGAAAACATCTGCGGTAAATTTAACTCTTCTATTGAGAATATGAAACTTATAGTATGTAACGAACTTCAAAGTATAGATACAACAAAAGTTTTGAACTCAGATGCTTTGAAGAGTCTTATAACAGACAAAGTTGGAGTTGTTGAAAGAAAATATAAAGACCAAAGAGTTTGTGAAAATGTTGCAAACTTCATTATGGTTTCAAACAATGCTGTTCCGATGAAGTTAGAAAGTTCTGACAGAAGATATGTAGTTGTCAGAACGTCAGATTCTCATATGCAAGATACAGAATATTTTGACGACTTAGCAGAAACTTTGACATCTGACTTTTACAACCACTTGTTCTCATATTTTATGACATTAGATATTTCAAAGTTCAATCCAAGACAAATTCCACATACCGAAGAGAGACAAACATTGTTAGAAGCAAACAAGAGTGTATATGAACTGTTTATAGATGAGACTAACTTTGAGTGTTTAGATGAAAGGTCATTGTACGATTCGTATAAACAGTATTGTCAAGAATATGGTTATATGGCAGCGTCTAAACGAACATTCTTGGCAAATATCAAAAATCTTTTAGATGTTCAGAATGGTGTATATACAAAGAAAAATTTTTCTGAGTAAATTTTAAAAAAAAAATATTTTTTTATCCGATAGAAAAGATGACGAAATTCATCTCAGTAAACAAGTACATGTCAGGACTTAAAGAAGAACTAGACCCATTCACATATTTGAATGTTTACTTCTACCATTTTGAAAAGTCTTCATTTGACAAAGTTTGGAACATCGAACCAGTTAAGTTTGCTATTGTGACTAAAAATGGTGCGAAATTTGAAGACTTAGACATAGAAGGTTTGTTAACAGTCAAAGAAAGTTTTGACAGAAGGTTCTCAAAACTTGAAGAAGGTAAAGCATACAAACTTGTTATACCTTATGAACCAAAGAAGACAGACGACTATGAATATTATGAGTCTAAGATAGTTGAAGTTCAAGGTAAATTAGGTAAAAAGATTTTAGAGTCTAAGCCAGTGTTTACTCCTAAAGAGGAAGAGAACATTGACATTGACCCAGAAATGTTCTAAAAATAAAATTTTATTTTTACATGTCATATCTCACCTTCTCTGGAACTGGTTCAGGTTCTTTCTTCTCTTCAACTTTTTTCTCTTTCTTTCCTTTCTTCTTCTTTTCTGGTGGAGTTATGTCAAATTTCTCCGAACCATATTTCTGTAAAAGTTCTTTGTCATTTAATAGCTCTTCTATTCTGTTTTCTATTTCATCTTCAAGAACAGCGCATGTGTCTTCTTTGCATTCTAAGAATTTTTGTTGGACTTCATCTCTCCAAGAGGCGTCATCTCTGTCAACAAGTCTGTCATTGACAAATTTTAAGACTTCTCTGCTTAATGTTTTATGGTTCTTGTCATATTCCCAGAAACAGAACTTTAGAACAAATTCACCTTTCTTGTTTACACTATGTAAGATTTTATGGTCGACAGATGTTTTGCTGTCAAAAAGTTTGTCTCGAATATAGATGGCGAAATCGCTAGACATTTTCTAAAAGATAAAAATTTTAATTTTTCTAAAAATATGTTAGAAAAAAAGTTTGCTGACATTGACAAAAAATTTGAGAATGTTTTAAACAAGAACAAGAGGAAGTTAGAAAATGCTCAGATAAAACCCATACATGACAAGTTCTTATTTGCTCAGAATGGTATAACAGGTCTAATTGCACCACCTGGGTCGGGTAAGACTTTCACTTATCTTAAAATGGCTGCACAACAACAAGAACTAGATGAGAAGAACCCATTCTATGAGTTAGTTGTCATTTGTAGTACTTCTGGTCAATTTGACCAAACCGTCAATTCGTTCAAAGATATTATAAAGAAGTCTAAGTTAGTATGTATAAAAGACTCTGAGTTGTTAGATTGGATAAAGAAGTACCAAAGAAGGGTTTTGAAGTACAATGCTATAAATGAGTATATAAATTCGAAGTTTAAAGACCCAAATGAGGAAATGCAGAGAATATTAGAGAAGAAACACTTCAGAAACAAACAGAAAGAGATAGAATACATTTCGAAGAAATTGCAATCTTACGATTGGAAGACTTACCCTCATAGATGTCTTCTTATCTTAGATGATTTCGCCTCTCATCCTTTGTTAAAGAATAGAGAACAAGATATGTGTCGAATTCTTAAGAAGCTCAGACACTTTAACATCTCAGTTGTCATTTGTGTACAGACAGCAAAGAGTTTAAGTAAGGATGTAAAGAGAATACTTACTGACATTATACTTTTCCCAGGATTGTCAGAAGACGATTTCATGGAACTTATGAAAGAGTCCATGGCAGGTAAGTTTGACAGATATGAACTATGGGAGAAGTACAAAGTCATACAAGACCCTCATACTTCTTTCAGAATTCATATCTACGCAAACAAAGTTCAAATTGTAAAAAGTCAAGCGTAAAAATGTAAGTGTTTAGTCTTAGTCTGTTGTGGTTCTGCAGCTTTCGGTTCTTCTGGCTTTGGAAGACATTCAGGAAGAGGAATGTCAGTCGTCCGTTTGTGTCCTGTCGGAAGGAAAAACTCGGAATGTCGGAAGGAAAAACTCGGAATGTCGGAAGGAAAAACTCGGAATGTCGGAAGGAAAAACTTTTTCTGTCGGAAGGAAAAACTTTTTCTGAAGTTCGACCAAAAAGTTCTCAATTTTCGAAAATTTGAATGGTTTACGGACGAACAACAGGAAATTTTTTTCCAGTTGTCAGGAAATTTTTTTCCAGTTGTCAGGAAATTTTTTTCCAGTTGTCGGGAAATTTTTTTCCAGTTGTCGGGAAATTTTTTTCTTGTCGGAAGGAAGGACTCGGAATGCCAGAAGGAAGGACTCGGAATGTCGGATGGAAGGACTCGGAATGCCAGAAGGATTTGACAAGACAATTTACCTTATAGAGCTACCTGAGCCATCTTTGGTGTCAAGCTTGAAAAATAAAGATTGAAATTTACTCTGCTTGTTTGAAGTTGTCAAAATACTCTGTTATTTTTTCTTTCAGTAGCGGCAAATCTTCTTTGAAGGTAAGAATTGTACAACCTTTCATATCATAGTGTGTTTGAGGTAACGTATCTTGAACTATTTGTTTCACATCTTCATTTGGGGTCATTGAAATCGGTAAGTTTTCGCGATAGAACCAATTTCTGTCAGATTTGTAAATCTTAGCAAGGTCGTAAAAGCTTTTGTTGTTTCTTCTGACTAAATGCAACATAACCATATCTCTGTCTTCTTCATTTTCCATCTCTTCAGTATAAATCATATACTTATAGTTCTTTTCCTTTCCTTTTGGTACCGAACGCGGTATTCTTTTCTGAATGCTTTTGTCTTTTGCTTCAAGCTTGTTCTCTAGCTCTTCACGTTCTTGTCTATGAATTTCGTCAAGAAGTTTACAAACATACCAAGCATAACGAGGTGAAGCCCACATTGCAACAGCATTTACAAGAAGTCTATGTACATAATATCCTCTCAAACCGTTTGGCAATTTTTCACGATTTTCATGAGTTTTAGGCGAGTAAGATTTTTTACTTACTCGCTGTTCTTCACTGTTTTCAGAAAAAAGTATGTCTCGCTGTGCTTCGCTCAAAAATTCTTGTGTGCTTTGGTTCCTAAACCAGTCTTGTGGTTTCTTAGTATCTGGTGCAAAACATGCTGTCAAAATACTTTGCATTTGGTACATATCGTCTTTGACCGAACGAATGAGACGGAGTTGTTTGTTAAACTGAACCCACTCATATTCTTCATTTATAGCTTCATGGACTATAACTGTTGTTGTGTTCTCTGATGTTGACATATCTGTCTTTACATACAAAATAAAAAAATAAAAAAAAATAAAACTAACTTTATTTTTTCTATCTTGTATAAAAGATATGATTTTCATACGGAATTCAATAAAAATAATGTTTAGGTGAAGAGGTGCGATCTCACCTCCTTTTTCACCTGTTTTTTCACATGGTCTAAAACATACAAAACTCATGAAATTTGTGCTGAATTCAGCAAAAAATAATGTTTAGGTGAAGTGGTGCGATCTCACCTCTTTTCTCACCTCTTTTTTTTTATAAGCGTTTTACATGGTAAACGTTATTTTTACATGTATTTTTCAGCAACTTCGTCAAATAATTTTATAGCACTATCTATCTCATCTACTTCAAACGTTTCTTTACCTTTTATGGGAGCACCATACATTTTCTCAAACTTTTCAAGTAGTTCTGTTTCTGCAGCTCTCATATCATTAGCAAACACAACCTTGACTCTATTGACTATACTGTCATATCTTAGAGTTATATTATATGTTCTTCCTATCTTATATCTCTTTGTGTTGAAGTCCTTCGGTTTCTGAACGATGTAAAGTAAGCCTTCACTGCAACGTTCCGTATCGAATGAACCATGTGTTATGAAGTTATATCCAACAACTGGGTCTAACCATAACAAAACTATTGGTATAAGACTTTTGTCGATGAGATATGCTGCAGTTCCATAGAATCTTACCGATATCAAAAGCTCAGGATTTCTTGTCAAAATTTTCTGAGTTGAAGCAATTCTAACCCAGTCCTGCGGTCTCTTTCCAGATGGAGATATAATGTCTGACAAAGAATATTTGTTGTATTTCTTTGAGTATCTTACGTTTAAATCACCTATTCTAACCACTTTGGTGTCATTGTCTATCTTTCCAACTGTTTCAAACTCAACCTTTAACATTTTCTGTTCTTACATACAAGATAAAAAAATATTTTTTAAAAAAACTAACTTTATTTTTTTTTCTATCTTAAGGAAATTCATGATTTTCATACAGAATTCGGCAAAAATAATGTTTAGGGTAGAAGGTTAGATCTAACCTCTTTTCTAACCTCTTTTCTACCCTCTTGAATTTGTCATGAATTTTCATGAATTTTCATGAATTTTCATGATTTCATCGTAAATGTTTTGCTTCGTAAATGTTTTGCTTCGTAAATGTTTTGTTGAGATTTCTTCATCGAAATGAGCGTAAAGGACCCAAAAATAATGTTTAGGGTAGAAGGTTAGATCTAACCTCTTTTCTAACCTCTTTTCTACCCTCTTGAATTTTCATGAATTTGTCATGAATTTTCATGAATTTTCATGAATTTTCATGATTTCATCGTACATGTTTTGTTGAGATTTCTTCATCGAAATGTTTTGTTGAGATTTCATCGTTTATGTTTTGTCAAGACTTTCTTCGTAATGAGCGTAAAGGACCCAAAAATATATTTTAGGGTAGAAGGTTAGATCTAACCTCTTTTCTAACCTCTTTTCTACCCTCTTGAATTTTCAAGACTTCTTCGTAAATGTTTTGTCAAGACTTCTTCATCGTAATGAGCGTAAATCAGACAAAAATATATTTTAGGGTAGAAGGTTAGATCTAACCTGTTTTCTAACCTGTTTTCTACCCCAGTTATTTTATAAGCGTTTCACATGGTAAACGTTATTTTTGGAATTTTGTGAAAACTCAACGGTTTGACACAAGCCCTAAAAATTATTTTACTCAGAATTTTATACAGAATTCAATAAAAATATATTTTAGGGTAGAAGGTTAGATCTAACCTCTTTTCTAACCTCTTTTCTACCCCAGTTATTTTATAAGCGTTTCACATGAATTGTACGATGTATATTTGAAATCCTAAACAATTTCGTAGCTTCTATTTCTTCTTTTAGTATGTCAAATGTTTTAACGATACCGAAAGTTTCTTTATACTTCTTCTTGACATCAGATAGAAGGAAATCGTCTGCTGTTGGATAGTTTTTGTTCAGAAATGCTAACATGTCCATTTTATTTTCTGCTGGCTTTTCTGCTTCTTTCTTTAAGTCTGCATAGTCGTTTCGCATACGTTCTATCTCTTTGACGGAGTAGTTATATTTCCTCATTGCTGCTTTACATTTTGAACATTGCGGGTTCATTTTTGCGTTATATTCTGAAACCTTACCTGCTAAAACAACCAAGGCGTCAATGGTTTTCTTTAAATCTGAAGCAGTTGGTCTTATCTGTTCGTTCCATATTTTACCTCTTCTATCTTTATCTCTTATCTGCCATACACATTCAGCAACTAACGAAACAAAGTTGTCGTAGGTCTTAAACTCCTCCGATTTATATATGTCAGAAATATTTTTATATACCATATCGCAATCTTTGTCCATAACCTTATGGTTGCAATGAAAACCAAGGAACTCATAATTTACCTTTCGTATGAACTTCTTTATTTCTACTGAGTCAGTCAGTCCGACTTCTATTTCATCGAATTCTGGAATAGTAAGCTTTTGTTGTTGGATTTCAGGAAGTTTAGGTAGATGGTCAATAATATCCTGCATGTCGTAAAGATACTGTTCATTTTGTTCATCTTTCGCACTACAGTCTAAATTACTTGTTAACAGTTCTTGCTTTATCTTCTGGATTTCTGTTTCGAAAGTATATGAAGAAGGAATGAAGCTTTTCATCTCTACTAACATAGATGTTGGATTCATGACTAACGAGTTTGGTGCTGTTGTTTGAATTGCTGTTGTGCCGATTGTTGACATTTCTGTTCTTTTATACAAAATAAAAAAATAAATAAAAATAAAACTAATTTTATTTTTTATTTCGGGAAAATTCATGAAAATTCAAGAGGTTAGAAAACAGGTTAGATCTAACCTTCTACCCTAAATTATATTTTTGGTGTAAATTTCATGAGTTTTCGAGAGTTTTCGAGAGTTTTCTACGATGGTAGAAAAGAGGTTAGAAAACAGGTTAGATCTAACCTTCTACCCTAAATTATATTTTTGGTGTAAATTTCATGAGTTTTCGAGAGTTTTCGAGAGTTTTCTACGATGGTAGAAAAGAGGTTAGAAAACAGGTTAGATCTAACCTTCTACCCTAAATTATATTTTTGCTGAATTCAATAAAAATAAATGGTTCATTTACTCACAATATTTTTGTACAAAACAACCCCAAACTTTTAACTTCTTTGCTGCAGCTTCTAATGCTATCTTAGCGAGTTCATATTCTCTAAATTCTCTCTTTAAATCTTCTTGTTCCCATTGGTCTAGTTCGTATGGAGAATCTCTATAACCATAACATATCTCACGTTCATGTTCTATTTGTTTAAGCACATTTTTCTAACTTCTTGTTCGAACAAAGGTTTAGCATTCTTTACTGTATCTTCAAGTTCTTCTTCATCTAATTTCTCATGAACTTTCTTGTCTATGGAGTCCAGAATTTTTCCAACTGCTATACAATATTTTGGAGAAGCCCACATTGCTATATAGTTTACGAGTCTTGGGTCTACATACATTCCTCTAACCTGTTTGATTTCATCAGAAATTCCTGCATGAATTTTGTATAAAAAGCAACCCGCTGTTTTCCGCGGGTTGGTATATTCTTCACAAAATGCCTTAAAATACTCTTCCCAGGACTTATTTTCCAACAACCTTCTAAAGTCTTTCCTAAACTGCTGACACATCTTTGTTGCATTTATATAACCATCCTTGTCTCTACGTAAGACTTCAATACCGTTGTAAGTGCCTTTTGTGAATGTTTCGCCATTAGATTTGTTCGTGAACGTTTTTGCTTCGACTGACATTACTGTTCTTACAATAAAAATAAAAAATATTTTTTGGTGGGACGTCGGACATTCGTTTGTGGCTTAACCGTCGGACATTCGTTTGTGGCTTAACCGTCGGACCACAACGATAAAAATCTCGACAAAACATATACGATGAAGTCTCAACAAAACATTTACGATGAAGTCTTAACAAAAAATATACGATGAAATCTATTTCCTGTGTTGTTGTCAAAATGTCATGTTGTCACACTTTTTCAGAGAAGTTAAAATGACCGAGTGACCGAGTGACCGAGTGACCTGGTCGCCTAAAATATATTTTTTTCTATCTTAAGGAAATTCATGAAAATTCACCTGTTGAATTTTGTATAAAAAGCAACCCGCTGTTTTCCGCGGGTTGGTATATTCTTCACAAAATGCTTGTTTTGAGGTCGAGCCACTTTTGGCTCCACCGTATTCTTTCAACCAAAATATATTTTTGTCGAATTCAGCACAAAATTCATGAAAATTCAAGAGGGTAGAAAAGAGGTGAGAAAACAGGTTAGATCTAACCATCTACCCTAAATTATATTTTTGGGTCATTTACGCTCATTACGATGAAGAAGTCTTGACAAAACATATACGAAGAAATTCATGAAAATTCATGAAAATTCATGAAAATTCATGAAAATTCAACGGGTGAAAAAACAGGTGAAAAAAGAGGTGAGATCGCACCACTTCACCTAAACTTTATTTTTCAATACTTTTTCAGCACTTTTCCGTAGTTATATATGAAAGACAATTCGAGATAAAAGTCATAGTACAATGGAATAATATGTTGCACACCATTTGTTGTGAACCAAACTTGAAAGTCAGAGAAACTGTTACTAGGTGGTTCGTAGAATTTAGAAGCAAAGTCATAAAAGTCCTTACCAATACATAGAAAACTATTGTTGCTTGAACTGAAACTTGCATGACACATAACATTTTGAGGGTCAAACACGTTTCTATAAACCATCAAATCTGCTGGTGGAAGTATAAATTTAAAAGGACCGTCAGGTGGTAATGGTTCGTTCTGGTTTAGTAACCGAAGAAATTGTGCCCAAGAACGTTTGTCTACTTCCCAAAATAAAAACTCTGTATCTCTTGGAGGGTTAATTTCAATCTTTTGAAATGAAACGGTTGAGTTCATCTTATCGTATTCTAGTTTTAGATAGTATGTTCCATTTAGTAAAGAGTCGTATTTTTCTTGAAATTCCCAATAATATTTGTTTATTTGAGTTTGAAAGTCATTTAGAGTTTTTTCAAGACTTTCGTCTGAACGAACTGTAAAGATTCTCATTTCGTCAAATTTTTCTATTAGACCATCAGAACCTTTATACTGACCGTGAAAATATACTGCAAACATAAACGCGTTAGTTCTATTTGAAAACAAAACTCTTCTAAATCCTATTGCCTTTGCATCTGAAGGACTTTGAAGCCAACGAATTGGATAGTCAAACCTGTATGTTCGGGATGAAATTTCTTCATCTGAAATAGTCCTACCAGCATTTGTAAAGATATAGTCTAACGGTTTTGTATCTGCTACTTTTGTTCTTTGTTTTTCAACCTGAAGCATTTAATATATGTAAAAATATACTGTTTTAAAATGGTATGCCATTTCATATTTCTCATCTAACAAACATGTTGTCTGACTGCTTGAGGGTTATGTTGGTATCGTTCGAGCTTGACACTTGCAATTCCTTCAATTGCATTCAAAATGTCTGAGTCTGAATCAGCCATTTGTTCTCTCTTTGTAGTCTTGAAGGCGTCAAGAAGTTTTGCAGCTGTTGTGACATTGCCATATGCATAGTATATATGACCGTCCAAATCTGTTACGGTTAGTCTGAGATTGTATCCTTTCTTATTTCCGTCTTGAATTGCAGCAAGTACACCCATGAAGCCTTCTTTGTTCTTTCCTTCGTCAAAGTTTACTGTAAAGTCTCCACCTTGTCCAATTTTAGCACGAACTTCACGATACTTCTCATATGCATATCTTGTTCTTTCCATGGGAGCATGTGTGTCTTCACCTTTTCCTTTTTTCCTTCTCAAAGGATGCAATTGTTCGTCATGTTTCCAATAGAATCTGGCAAAGCCGTCGTGTCCCTCAACTTGAGGTTCACTAACATCGAAAGGCATGTCCATAAGACGTTCTTCTTCTAACCTCTCTAGTCTGTTTGGATAATTTGCACGTGCTGTTTCCAAATCCATTTCGTAGCGAAGACCAGACAATTTGTCATAGACTTTTATGGGTCTTCCCTTCCTATATTTAAACTTCTTCGAAACTCTCCAACCATATCTTTGCAACTCTGCTTTTATTCTAGCAGACTTTCTATCCATTCTATATGGGGGCATTTTTATAAAAATAAAAAAAAATATACTGTTTTCTTTTACTTTACATAACCTCCTGCTACCATAAGCCTTTGACGCCAACCCATACCAGCCAATGAAGGTTGACTTGGTTTAGTTTCCAAACTAAACTTTGGTTTTGGTTTATCTTCAGTTTTTGGCTCACCTTCTTCTATCGGTTTTTCGTCACTTTTCGGTTCCTCTGACTTTACCCCACCTGCAGGTATGGTTGTGTCGTCAACATCTTCATAAATATCATATGCCATTTGTTTTTGTTTTCCTTTCAACTTTTTGTGTTTGTTGTAAAGTTTAGAATATTTTGACTCTAAGTCAATGAGATGTTCTATAATGAACTGTTGGTCAGTGAAGTAAACTTTTCCATCTGTTGTCTCGAAAGCTCCTTCAGACTTCAATATTTTATTTGTGAGAGTCTGTTTCTTTTTTGAGATACTAGCCGTTCCATTTCTATGAAAAGTGACTTTATAGTTAGGGTTTGTATTTCCAGACCTGGCACTTTCTATTATTGAATTTTTCTCTTCATCTGTAAGTTCTTTGACAGGTTTTGACAATGGTTCTGAACTTTTTGTTTGTGGTGTCAAATCTACCGTTTCAACTTCTTCGGTCATTTCATCTCAGTAAAAAATTTTAGTTTGGTTTGTTTTCAACTGGTTGTTGTTGTTTTTTAAGTCGGTCTAAAACTTCCTGAGGTATAGGAAGAACTTGACAAACACGTTGTGTAACTGCTGGAAGTCGACAAATCCATCTTGAACTCATTTGTCTCAATGCTGTATTGTTCATTTCATCTCAGTAAAAAATTTTACATTCCCCAAGTTTGAGGCGGTTGCGGTTGGTTATTGTTTACCCACTGTTGTGCATGGTTATATCCTCTGTTAAAGAATCTTTCACCTTGGTCCATATAGTGTCCTGCTTGGTTATAGTAGTCATTTGCTTTGTTATAATAGTCATTTGCTGTTTTTCCTACATTATCCATCCATCCTTGAACTTTTCCTCTTGTTTCAGGATTTGGAATAAGATTTGTTGCATCTCGTGCTACATCCCAACCTTTCTGTACAGTTTGTATAATAGGTTGTGCTTTCTCTTTCAGTATACCTAATGTACTCAAAATCTTCCTTCCAACTCCAAATACACCTCTGGCTATTGTTCCCACTGCGGGTAAAAATCTGGATGCAACTCCTGCTAACGCGCCAAATAAACCCATTTCTTACAGGGTAAAAAATGACGAATTCAAACAAGGACCCGTATGTTTCTAAAGCGACAAAGAAAGCACTCATGATAAAAATCTTCAGTTCAACTCCGAACGCATGGTTTATGGATATCTTGGAAAACATTCCGAGAGTTAGAACAGATGGACCACCATACTGGTTAATATTTGTTGGTCAAAATACAAGATACTGTGAAGCCATACCATTACAGTCCAAAAATATTTTAGATGTGAAAACTGCTTTGACAATATTCGTTGACAAATACCATCCAACAAAACTGACATCTGACTGTGAAAGTTCTTTCAAATCAGATGATGTAAAAAACTATCTGCGTTCAAAAAATGTAAACCAATATTTCATTGTCGACCAAAACCATTCTGCTCTTGGTGTCATTGACGGTTGTATAAAAATCTTAAGAGACTTAAACCAACCACAAGGTGGTGAAGCAAATGAAATGTCATATGACGACAAATATAGACACTTCTCCATGGCAAAGATGAGACAAGTTTTAAATATTTACAATAACCGTAAACAAAAAGGTTTGGGAAACCACTCCCCCGAAGAAATGAAAAACAACCCTGACTTAGAGAAAGACTATATATTTAATAGTTTAGTCAAAAGAGACAAACAAGAAAGAATGCCAGGCTTCAAACTTCGGAAGGGTGACAAAGTAAAAATAGAAATACCTAAACGCGACCCATATGAAAATACTATTGACTATGACAACAATGGGAACCCGACAGGTACTCACGTTCGTGTTCGTAAAAATAGAAGAAAGTATACAAGAGAATATTATGAAGTTTTAGGCAAACATGGCAAAATGTACACACTGCAAGCAGAAGATAAAACTACTATTGCCAGACCTCGTTTCAAACTTGTCAAAGTTCAAGGTGGTATACTTTCAAAGACAGTTCCTAACAAATATAAGACAACTCCTGACGAATATGCTAAAGAAGTTGAAAATGACGACTAAGCAATTCTATACCATGCGTAAACTGTCATGTAAGGTGGCATGTAGTCTTTACCCAAGCCTGTTGGATTTGTTGTGAAAGTGTGTGAATGATTTCCTGCGGTTCCACAGAAAATCCCCGCGTTTGAATCTACCGGGTCACTTGAAATATCATATCTATCCATTCCCTGTCT